ATCAGTCTCATTCTTGGGCTTTTTACTTCTTGGATAACCTAACACATCTGTAATAACTGAAGAACTGGTGATTTAGTTGTTTCAAGTCTGTCTCTCCCCCCTCATCCCAGAAGAAGAGCCTAAGATAACATGGGTTGTATTTATCCTGAAGACAGTTTTATCTCTAGCTTCCATAACAGTGCCTGGTACATAACAGATACTTGAAAGATGCTTCATGAATGCTATGTACTAGGTCATGACCAGGATCAGGATGGAGCAAGAATTGTTGTTCAGTCGCTCAGTCAGGTCCAACTCTTTGCGACCCCATGGACTGCAGCACGCCAGGCCTCCCTGTCCATTACCAACTCCCGGAGCTTACTCAAACTCATATCCATTGAGTCAGTGATGCCATCTAACCGTCTCATCCTCTGTCATTCCCTTCTCATCCTGCCTTCAATCTTTCCCAGCATCAGGGTCTTTTTCAAATGAGGCAGTTCTTTGCATCAAGTGGCCAAAGTATTGGAGTTTCAGCTTCAGCATCAGTCCTTCCAATGAATATTCAGGACTGATTTCTTTTAGGATGGACTGGTTTAATCTCCTTGCAGTTCAAGGACTCTCAAGAGTCTTCTCCAACACCACAATTCAAAAGCATCAATTCTTCGGCGCTCACACATCCATACATGACTACTGGAAAAACCATAGCTTTGTCGGCAATGTCTCTGTTTTTTAATATGCTGTCTAAGTTTGTCATAGCTTTTCTTTCAGGGAGCAAGTGCCTTTTAATTTCATAGCTGCAGTCACTGTCTACAGTGATTTTGGAGCCCAGGAAGAGAAAATCTGTCATTGCTTCCCTGCTTTTCCCCTTCTATTTGCCATGAAGTGATGAGACTGGATGCCATGATCTTAATTTTTTGAATGTTGAATTTTAAGCCAGCTTTTTCACTCTCCTCTTTCACTTCCATCAAGAGGTTCTTTAGTTGCTCTTCACTTTCTGCCATTAGAGTGGTGTCATCTGCATATAGGTCGTTGATATTTCTTCCGTCCATCTTGATTCCAGCTTGTGGTTAATCCAGCCCAGCATTTCTCATGATGTGCTCTGCATATGAGTTAAATAGGCAGGGTGACAATATACAGCCTTGTCATATTCCTTTCAGAATTTTGAACCAGTCAGTTGTTCTATGTCAGGTTCTAACTCGCTTCTTGACTTGTATACACATTTGTCAGGAGACAGGTAAGGTGGTCTGATACTCCCGTCTCTTTAAAAACTTTCCACAGTTTGTTGTAGTCACACACTCAAAGGCTTTAGCATAGTCATGAAGCAGAAATAGATGTTTTTCTGGAACTCCCTTGCTTTCTCCATGATCCAGCATATTCTGGTGTTTGACCTCTGGTTCCTTTGCATTCCTTAGTATTTTGCTTTAAGGGTGGGAGATTGAATCCACTGGGTAAGAAACCTGGGCCACATAGAGATCATCCCTAGCCCTGGGCTGATGTCTACCTGTGTGGTCCTGACTTTGTGTGCATGGCAGGAAGCCCCTAAATCATCATCGGTCCTATCCATTCTGAGCATTTTCTGTCCACCAGTGTCTGAAGGGCTTGTTTGCAGCTTCTGTTGCTGTCTGTGACATTAGCAGTTCATTTCCTGGTATCTTGGATCACAAAGGCCTAAACCAGCTCTGATTTCAGGGCTTTCTGTCCTGCTGGTGCTTCCCTGCATCCAGCAGCTCTCCTCCATTCAGAGCTGTCCCACAGCCAGAGCCCCTGCCCACTGGAGGTACCATCTCCGCATCCTGAGGCTGCCATGGAGCAGCTGCTTGGGAGTCCTGCTGGTGTCCAGCCTATACTGGGACAGTTGGTGGAGGGTGGATGGAAACCCTGCATGCCCCTACGGGACTCACAGCCCTCACTCCCCTGGGGACAGAGGACTACAAGGACGATTGTCTAAAGCTTTGTTGCTAAAGGAGCAAAGATGAGAACTTTCCTTGAAATTAACCTCAAGGAGGAAGTTTATCAGCATTTCTTAGCTGCTGCTTCCTCTTCCTAGCCCCACACCTATTGGAAATTGCTAATGGGAGCTGACTTTATCACTTCAAGTGTGTACAGACAAAATAAAAAGTAAGACACACTATACAGTGAGCTTTATCTGAGAATCTGAATCTGAGTGTTTTGACCCTTTCAAGGACAGAACCTGCATAACAGATTCTACTGTTTAGAAACTTACTGTATGTTCAAGTCTGGGTTTTGTTTTTTCTTTGAGCCTTTTTCTTTTTTCCTTTGAGCCTTCTTGATGACTCCAGGTGTTTTGTTTTAAAGTTAAGAATTAACATTTTAACCAATCAGCTCTTTTGGCATTTACCCCTCGATTCTATCATGTGCATTGGCTGATATTGACCTAGTAATGGAGAAGCAGCAAATCTTCAGGCAACTCACATATTTCTTTTTACACATGCCACACACCAATTATTTGTCTGCCTTGCATTTTGGCAGTAGAGATTTCCTTAACAGTTGGTTGCAAATTGAATTTTTAGAAATCAAATCCCACTGGCTGCAGGAACATATCAGATAAGCTTTATCTACCTTCTAATTAAGCATCACTAGGCAGTGACTCCTGTCATTTAAGCTTTCAGGTTCCTTTTCTTGGTTCTTTTTGTCAAGTAATTGTTTTGTAAATAAGTACAGCTCAGCTGGTAAAGAATCCACCTGCAATGCAGGAGACCCTGGTTTGATTCCTGGGTCAAGAAGATCCCCTGAAGAAGGAAAAGGCTACCCACTCCAGTATTCTTGGGCTTCCGTGGTGATTCAGCTGGTAAAGAATCCGCCTGCAATGCAGGAGACCCCAGTTCGATTCCTGGATCAGGAAGATCACCTGGAGAAGGGAAAGGCTACCCACGCCAGTATTTCAGCTTGGAGAATTCCATGGACTGTATAGTCCATGGGATCACAAAGAGTCTGACAGAACAGAGTGACTTTCACTTTGGGTTTCATTGAAGTTCCCTGGTTCAGGCTTCCTGTTGCAGGGAAGCCTGCAATGAGTTCTACTGTATTTTAACACTTTGTGTTCATTTTCTGAAAGTGAAGCACGACTGTGACTTATGTGGTTTGTTTTGATGGTAAACCGCGCCTCATTGTGTTGGTAGTCTAGTGGCAGGCATTAAAAGAAATATAACTCCCAACCTCACTACTGAAAGAAACCAAGAAGACGAGAGAAGTCAGGCAAACACCAGTAAAGGCACTTTCTGAATTGTGAATACTTAAAATTTTTATTAGGATACAGAATCATACATTTTTTCACTTTGCTGGATATACCTTATTATACTAGCTAGGAATCTAGTGCAGTGTTGAATTGGTGAAATTGGCCTTCCTTCATTTTTTATCTTAAAGACAAAGCATTCAATCTTTTACTATTATGTTAGCTAACAGTAGATATTTCATCAATACCCTTTATCAATTTGAAAAATCTATTATTCTTTAGCTATTCTTATCACCTTTTATCGTTAATGGATGCTGAATTTTTCATGTTTTTAATACATCTGCTAATATAGTGAATTACATTGATTGATTGACTTTCAGATGTTAAAGTGATCGTTCATTACCAGGATAAACCTATTTAATCACTGTATGTGTGTTATGCTAAAATTTTATATAAGAATATTTGCATCTATGATGATGAGAGATAGCAGATCTGTAGTTTTGTCTTAAAATGTCTTTGACTAATTTTGTCATAGATAATGCTGACCTCATAACATGAGTTAATTGTATTCCCTGTTTATTCTATATTCTGGGAGGATTTATATAGATTTGATATGCTTTCTTCTAATTATTGCTTCATAGAACTCATAGAAGCCACCTGGGTCTGGAATTTTCCTTGTATGCTCCTAATAGCAAGTTGAGTTTCTTTAATAGGTATAGAGTTATTTAGCTTATCCATTTTTCCTTGAATGAGTGAGGTAGGATTATAGCTTATACAAGCTGTCTATAAGACATATGGATTTTTATAAACCAAAATTAATTCATTTGAATTGTTTCACAGATGACATCTTTTAGAAAACCAAGCAGGATGGGCTGGGGTATTTGCAAGTGGGCACATCCTATAAATAAAATTCCCATTATGGGCCCAAGATAGACAATAATTTTGTGTTCATGACATCACATTGAAAAATAAACCTTCAGGACAATATGCATATTCACTGTTACTTTTTCAAAAAGTTGAAATATATACTGCATGTAAGTTAATTTTTAGATTACTTATCACCTTACTATTTCAAATACTTATGACAAGTTAGAGATCAAAAATATGAAAAAATATTCAAGAAAAGCAGATGATATTCATGACATGAATATAGTCAAAGTTCCAGACATAGGACAGAAGAACTAGCAGTAGCAGGAAGGAAATAATACTAGAAATAATTCAAGGCAAGTTCCCAGAACTCAAGGGCAGGGGTTTATAGATTTTAAGAGCCATGACAAAGTATATGATCATGATGTTTTGAATTGCAAGGAATAATTTCCTGAAAGCTTTCAGAGAGAGAAGCAAAAATAAAACAAAACTCTGATCATGGAGAAAGGGTTGGAAATCAGAATAGCAGGAAATAAAAAGTGTTAATTTAGCCAGAAATTGTGATATAACTCTTTTCAGAGGCTGGAGAGAAGAAAAAGAGGTTAAAAAAATACCAAAACAAAAAAACTAAATTCTCATCTACCATAGTAAGAAGTGAGTCGATAATCCATCTCAATGAAAAGTCTGGAGATAGCAAGAAAAGCATGCCATTTAGGTATTTGGTAGTAAAAACAAACAACAAACAAAAAAACCTGTTTCAATAAAAGAGTGAAAGGCTTTGTGAATACAGTGGTCATGGGCTGGGGAAGGGACTACCGTTTTTCAGTATCAACTTTGTAGAACGAGTACTTTTCTAACTATATGTGTTAATAATTTAGCAATTAAAATTAAAGAGTAGATAAGGATTTGCACGAGGTTTGCATGGGCCTGTTAAATATGACACTAATACTTCTTCTCCCTCCAGATTCCCGGTATATTCTTTTACCTGTCGTGCTACATCACCTCCACATGCACTTGCAAGAACAGAAGGACCTGATCATGTGTGCACGGATCCTTAGCAATGTATTTTGTCTCATCAAGAAAAATAGCTCAGTAAGTAAACACAGGTCATAGGATATAGTGCCCATCAGATGGCTTCTGGAAAAAAAATTTTAAGTTTTCTGAGAAAGCACACCAAAGAGTCATCCTTGGAGACTCTCACTTTCATTTCCATCTGTGTTGGATTTTTTACTTTTCTTCTAAAGGAATTTTTTTTTTAACCTTGTAGGATGTCTGTAGCCCCAAATAACCTGCATGTCTTAAACTTGTATTTCAAGGAAGAACTGAATACCCAATGAGAAAAATTAGAAATCTCAAAGCCTCCCACATGTGTCTTTAATCTTGATAAATACTCTGTGGCAAGAATAAATTATTGCTTGCAAAGACAGTCTGTTTGGGCCCATTCAGTGAAAGACTGGATGATGATGGTCAGAGCTTGGCCACGGGCCTTGGGCCAAGCCCTGTGCAGATAGTGAAAGCTAAAGAGAGGCCCAGAAACCTGGTGGTATCTTGCACCACAACCATTACTAATCACTCCATTGTCATGGCTCTAGGAATTCCTGTCAATGTTCCTGACTCTTGAGGAATTGCAGTTTGTATTAGACGATAGAGTGTCAACAGAGAAAAATGGCATGCTTGCTTATAACCGGGGGTAACCCCCTGCATACTCATGGTTCAGAGGTCTGGTGTGAAGTCCATGTGCGAAGGATGTCCTAGTTTAGTTCCATCAGTTTGCACCTGTTTACTACGCAGCCTCATCCGTAACAACTTTTACAAAGTAGGATTGGCAGTGAATGTTGGGATGCCTGTTTCTCTGCCTCCTACTTACTAGCATGCTACCGTTTCCCCATTTTCGTCCCTCTGAGTTATGATCACCTTCTGAAGAGCTTCCAGTAGAAGTCTTGGACATAGGACTCCAGTACTGTGGGAACAGTTGTTGTTCAGTTGCTAAATCATGTCCAACTCTTTGTGACCCCATGGACTGCAGCACACCAGGCTCCTCTGTCCTTCACCATCGTCTGGAGTTTGCTCAGACTCATGTCTATTGGGTCAGTGATGCTTATGTAACAGTCTCATCCTCTGTCACCCCCTTCTCCTCCTGCCTTCAATCTTTCTCAGTATCTGGGTCTTTTCCAGTGAGTCAGCTCTTTGCATCAGGTGGTCAAAGTACTGGAGCTTCAGCTTCAGCATCAGTCCTTCCAATGAGTATTAAGGGTTGATTTCCTTTAGGTTGGCTAGTTTGATCTCTTTGCTGTCCAAGGGACTCTCAAGAGTCTTCTTCAGCACCTCATTTCAAAAGCATCAGGTCTTTGGTGGGAACAGAGTTGGCCCTTGAGAGAAAAAGACCAGAAACTCTGTGTCTGAAAGTATGGTGCGAGGTACCTGCATAGGAGGGACCATTGCTTTTTACGTACCCAATTCAGTAAAGTATAGCTATACCGTGCCTAGTGAGAATGTTTTTGCTAACTCTCATTGCTGAGAGTGAAAAGTAAGTTTAAAAGGTTACTGCAGAAAACCAAAAACATCAGGTGTTAGTAGAGATGATTTTTTTCCTCCCCCCTCCTATTTCATTGTTGAAGTTTTGGTCAATTTTTGCACTTATCTGATAAGGATGTCAGAGCAGAAACTCTGTTCTGCGGGAAAATCTTTAGTAGTTTTCTTTCCAGTGTAAGAAAGTTTATTATAAAATACCAGCCAAAAGGGTCTTTCCAACTCATACTTTCTAAAAGTTTTCTTTGCAAAAGTAATCTTCTTGCTACACAAAGCATTTGTCATCATAGTGCTTTGTCTGGTGCAGTATAATAAGAACTCAAATCCAGTACCTTTAGTCAGTGCAGAAAACTTCACTCTGTCTCTCAAGTTCTGGGGCTTAGATAGTATTCATTTTGCTTCGGGAGAGCAGTCCCACCACAGCCACTGACATTAAGTCCAGTCTGTAACTAACATCATTCATTCAGACTGAATGCTGTTTGCTAATCTTTACATGTAGGGATTTTTAAAAATCACGTTATAGAAATAGTCATTTGCACTTAGGAGTTTTGGAAAATGACCCATGCAACTCCAGCGATGAGAAGAATAAATGTAAAAACAATCTGAAATCAAAAAATTACAAACTCTTAAAACCAAGAGGGATGTTTAGTGAACTGTCAGGCCCAGAGAGGCAAACTTACCTCACAGAGAGACACACTCAATGTTAGTGGCATAGCTGGTGTTCCCAATTAGTCTGGGGTGTGTTTCAGACCATCACCCCACCTTTTTACTTGCATCTCAGGTTCCCACTGCGCTGCAGAGTCACGTACTCTTGGGTAAGGTGTTAATATCTCCATGCCTTTTGTTTTCTATGAAAGGTCATTCATTTAGATAAATTAGGGAGGTCCTGGACTGATGAGCTCAAGTCCTTTGTTAGGACTCTTATTTTAGGCCACAATTTTCTGAGCACATTATTTTTTTTTCCTTTAGGAAAAATCTGTGCTGGAGGAAATAGATGTGATAGTGGCTAGCCTGCTGGACATCCTGCTGAGAACCATCTTGGAGATCACCAGTCGTCCGCAGCCATCTGGCTCCACCATGAGGCTTCAGTTTCAGGATGTCACGGTAAGGCCATGGCGCACAAAACTGCAGAGTTTTGCTTGTTAAAGCCTCAGTTGCTTTGAGGGTGGGGAATCTGAACTTGGGAGATTGATCTGTGTTCATTTCAAATGTGTGTAAGTTTACCTTCGTTTTACCAGGGGATGGGAGTAAGATGCATGTTTGTTAAAAGATCTTCGATTAAGATATTTCTAATTGCAGAAAGGCCAAATTGGCCCAGTTCTGCCCCCCCCCCCCATTTTGCCCAATTCAAGTTAATCTGTGGCTCTATATCCTCAGTCTCCTTGATAACTATCCATTCTCTTTTCATTCATCAAATTGCTTGAGAAAGTTAGAACAGTGAAACAGAGCAATAGCAGTCAAGGGTCCTAAATTTTGATTGTGAATTTTTCACTATGGCTAGTAAGGATCTTAATTTGGTGGCACGTTGGTGGGGGAGGTCAGTTTCCTCAGCTATGAATTGTGAAAGTTTGACCTGGTGATTTTAAGATATCTTCAAGCTCCACCATTTTATGGATCTGATGTAACATGAGTTGTAAATATTAAGACATAATTTATGTGATAGTTTATTTGTATATATGTGTGTGTGTAGAGAGAGAGATGTATAGATGGATGGATGGGTACATAAATCTTCACATTTGAAACTCACATTCAGTTGACCAATGTGGCCTTTTTTTTTTTAAGGTCTGATTCAGAACATTCTTCTAAATACCACTTGCAGAAATGGCAGTAGATGCTCTGGTTTTCACATATTGGTTATTAACCAAAATGTCAGCCTTTTGCTATTATTTTTACAAATTATGCACTATAGAACCACTATCATAAGAATGTTTGCCTAGCTCCTGATGAAGATAATTTTTTTTTTTCTTTTACTTAAGGGAGTAGAGGGTTTCCCAGGTGTCTCAGTAGTAAACAAAAAAAAACCCATCTGCCAATCCAGGAGGTGCAGTTTCGATTCCTGGGTCAGGAAGATCCCCTGGAGGAGGAAACAGCAACCCACTGCAGTATTCTTGTCTGGGAAGTCCCCTGGACAGAGTGGGGTACAGTCCATGATGTCGCAAAAGAGTTGGGCAGGACTTAGGGACTAAACAACAAACAACAACAAAATAGAAAGCCCACCCTGGCTGTCCTGCCAAGGTTGAATGTCTTAAGGATGGCCATCTTCTATTGCATTTTATTTTCTCTGCTTTCAGAGCTGAGATTTACCTGATTCTTCCTGCCAAGCTCCTGGTTTGGGAAGTAAAGTTACTCAATTTCTTGTAACAAGCAGAGGTTAAAGATTATACGAAAAAACTTCCTAATATATGTAATAGTTGTATTGCCTCATTAAAGAAAAGAAGAGGAAGCTATTAATTTCTCACGATCTGGTGGAATTTCATTTGTAGAATGCCACCTACCTCACAGGGTTAGCTTTGTGTATTTGGCAACTCTTTGATCCATAGTAAATGCTCAAAACATGTTTTTTCTTAAGACTACTGGACATCATTATGGGTTTGAAAGTTTGCGTGAGTTTGCTTTGAATTTTTTTGTCCTGTCTTCTCATGTTTTTCTGAAATTTTTATTTTGTGATAATTTGAGTCACATGCAGTTGTGAAAAATAATACAGATATTCCATGTTCCTTTTATCCAGTTTCCCTAATGGTAATGTCTTTCAGAACTATAGCACAGTATCACAACTAGGATATCAACAGTAGTGCAGTCAAGATGCAGAATATTCCACCACCCCAAGAATCCCCTATCTTGCCCTTTTATAGCCAAACTCAATTCTCTCCCAACTCCACCTCCTTCTTAAGCCTGTCAACCACAAAATCTGTTCTCCTTTTCTTGTTATTTTGTCATTTTAAGAATGCTGTACTTGAGTCACTTTGCTGTACAACAGAGAATTGGTACAACATTGTAAATCGACTATGATTTTTAAAAATTTTTTAAAAAGAATGTTATACAAGTAGAACCATACAGTACATAACTTTTGTGATTGGCTTTTTTTTTTTTTTTTTTACTCAGCTTAATCCTCTAGAAATTCATCCAGGTCATTGTGTATGTGTATATATACACATATATAAATATATATATATAATTGTTCCTTTTTCTTACTCAGTAGTTTTCATGGTGTAGATGTGCTATAGTGTGTTTAACTATCTCCACTGAAGGCCATCTTTTTTTTTTTTTTTAAGTCTCAAATAGAATTTTATTTATTTTTTTTCCATTTATTTTTATTAGTTGGAGGCTAATTACTTTACATCATTGCAGTGGTTTTTGTCATACATTGAAATGAATTAGCCATGGATTTACATGTATTCCCCATCCCGGTCCCCCCTCCCACCTTCCTCTCCACCCTATCCCTCTGGGTCTTCACAGTGCACCAGGCCCAAGCACTTGTCTCATGCACCCAACCTGGGCTGGTGATCTGTTTCACCCTAGATAATATACATGTTTCGATGCTGTTCTCTTGAAACATCCCACCCTCGCCTTCTCCCAGAGTCCACAAGTCTGTTCTATACATCGGAGTCTCTTTTTCTGTTTTGCATATAGGGTTATCGTTACCATCTTTCTAAATTCCATATATATGTGTTAGTATACTGTAATGGTCTTTATCTTTCTGGCTTACTTCGCTCTGTATAATGGGCTCCAGTTTCATCCATCTCATTAGAACTGATTCAAATGAATTCTTTCTAATGGCTGAGTAATATTCCATGGTGTATATGTACCACAGCTTCCTCATACATTGGTCTGCTGATGGGCATCTAGGTTGCTTCCATGTCCTGGCTATTATACACAGTGCTGCGATGAACATTGGGGTGCACGTGTCTCTTTCAGATCTGGTTTCCTCGGTGTGTATGCCCAGAAGTGGGATTGCTGGGTCATACGGCAGTTCTATTTCCAGCTTTTTAAGAAATCTCCACACTGTTTTCCATAGTGGCTGTACTAATTTGCATTCCCACCAACAGTGTAAGAGGGTTCCCTATTCTCCACACCCTCTCCAGCATTTATTGCTTGTAGACTTTAGGATAGCAGCCATCTTGACTGGCGTATAATGGTACCTCATTGTGGTTTTGATTTGCATTTCTCTGATAATGAGTGATGTTGAGCATCTTTTCATGTGTTTGTTAGCCATCTGTATGTTGAAGGCCATCTTGGTTGTTTCCAGATTTTGGCTGCTACTAACAAAGCTACTATAGATATTTGCATGCAAGTTTTTATGTAAGCATAAGTCTTCATTTCTCTAGGATAAATACTCCCAGGAGTATGGTTGCTGGATTGTATGGTAGTAGCCTATTTTGGTTTTTAATAAATGGTCTTACCTACTTCCATAATGGGTGTGTAACTTTACCTTCTCATATATACAGTGTATAATGAATGATCCAATTTCTCAGAACCTCATAAGCGTTTAGTGTTGTCACTTTGAGGAGTGGGGAAGGGATGGGGACCCTCGGATAGGTGGGTAGTGATATCTCATCGTGGTTTTGACTTGCATTTCCCTAATGATTAATGAGGCCAAACATCTTTTCACATACTTGTTTGCCATCTATATATCGCTTTCAGTGGAATATCTTTTTATGTCTTTTCTCCTTTTTCTAATTGGATTGCTGTCCTTGGTTGATTATGTCATTTACAAATATTTTATCCCACTTCTGTAGCTTGTTTTTTCATCCTTTTAACAGGGTCTTTTTGTTGTAGAGCAGAAGTTTTTAATTTTGATGAAGTCCAGTTTGTCAATTTTTCCTTTGATGGATCATGCTTTTGATGTCAAGTTTAAGAACTCTTTTTGTCTAGCCCTATATTCTGAAGGTTATCTCCTAGGTTTTTTTTTTCTTTTTGCCTAAAAGTATTATAGTTTTATATGTCACATTAAAGTCTGTGAACCATTTTGAGTTGATTTTTATATTCACTGTGTCAGATAATTTTAACATCTCTATTATCTCAGTGTTGACATCTCTTGTCGTTTTTCATTCGGTTTGAGATCTTCTTGGGTTTTTGTATGACGAGTGATTTTCAGTTGAAACCTGGACATTTTTGTATTATAAGACTCCAGATCTTATTTAAACCTTCTGTTTCACGTGGCCTTATGTGACACTACTTAGCAAGGAAAGGGTGAGGATGCCCACTCACGATGGGCAGTTGGAGGCAGAAATCCAGGCTCCTTGCCTTGGCTTCACTGACACAGACCAGTGGTCATGAAAATACCTGCCCCCTATTTGGCTCTGCATTCTGGAGACAGATGTTGGGGTATCCCATCACAGCCTTGTAAAGATGGAAATCTGGACTCCCCATTTGGCTCTTGCAGGTTTGAAAACAGCCAGATTTTTGTGATGTTGAGCTACAGGAGGGAAGTTACTGCTAAAAGTTTTGTCTTGTTAAACTTCCCCTTTCCTGGTCCTTTGGCTTAAGAGAGCAGGCTTACTGGGAGGTGCCAAGCAGAGGTGGGGGGTTAGGGAGATTGTTGCAATTACTGTTATTTCAAGGAGGCCAGCTTCTTCAACTCCAGGGGCAGGATATAGGAGGCAAAAAGAAAACCCAGAGAACACAGCACCCTGTCCTTCCTTGGGTCTGAGGTCTCTAGCAGGCATGTTCTCTTCTTTCCACTTTCCAGAGTCATCTTGTTTGTTTTGTATATAATGGAGGGGTTTTTGTTGTACTTGGTAGAAGGAATTGGGAAAAGCATATATACTCCAGCTTCCCAAAAGCAGAGGAAAGTCTCCTTCATTTTGGTTTTGCTGGTAACATTTCAACTGCTTCCTGGCAATACAGCTCCAACACAGTCCTAAAATTATAATGGCCAAGCAAACAAAATCACAGCAAATGCTCCATGTGGCCAAAGACTGCCCAAGGTCAAAAGCTAAAACACTTTGTCAAACTGCTTTGTATCTATCAATAGGGTTGAAACTGTCAAATTTTTCTGGGCCATGCATGACCTGTAGGTCTTCACAGCATAATGTTGTAGTTTAGTTGCTCAGTTGTGTCCAGCTCTTGGCAACCCCTTGGCCTGTAGCCCTCTAGGCTCCTCT